TGTGTACTCATGCTTGCATGCATCTATGCATGGTATCACTGAATGTGTGCACACATTTCTGCATGCATGGCTCAAGGCACGTGCCTTCCACCTTGTGCGCGTACCCCCCCCCCAGACCCTCCTCCAGATGCAAGTGCTAGGCAGCATAGCAACCATGCACCGCGCTCATCATGCGCCGTCTCAGCACGGGATGGGCACGGCAACTCACAACACCCTTGCCCTCCCATGCCCTTCCCCTTCCACCCACTTCGCCCTCCTCCCCTCTACAGATGCCAGTTCTGGACGGAATCTAAGCCATGCGGCTCATCGATGCGCAGTGGCCGCAGTGGCGCCACACCTGCCCATCTTTGTGCTCACAGCCAACGTGTTGGAGACGGATTGAGTGCGCTGCCTGGCGGCGGGCATGGATGGGTTCATGGCCAAGCCCATCCTCGTTTGATGTGGCAGCTAAGGGAGAATCATCGACGGGGGGATGAGGGAGCAGTGGGGAAGGCAGCTACGGGGGGAATGAGGGAGAAGGGGGACAGGTCGCGATAAGGGGGCTGTAGTGATGGGGGGGATGGAGTTGTGGGGGAGGCAACGAGGGGGGGGATGAGGGAGCAGGGGGGGAGACAGCGAAGGGGGAAATGGGGTAGCAGTGAGTGATGCAGCGACGGGAATGGGGGAGCAGGGGGGGAGACAGCGATGGGGGGGATGAGGGAGCAGTGGGGGAGGCAGCGATGGGGGAAATGGGGGACCAGCGGGGGAGGCAGCGACGTGGGGGATGAGGGAGCAGTGGGGGAGGCAGCGACGGGGGGATGTGACAGACAGCTAAAGCCCAGGTATCGACGTGTGGAGGAGGGAGCAGTAGGGGAGGCAGCGAGAGGGAAGGGGGGGGGGGGGGATTGGGGGCGGCAGTGATGGGAGAAATGAGGGAGCAGAGGGGGAGGTAGTGCTGGGGGATGTGGAAGCAGAGGGAAAGGCAGTGATGGGCACTATCTATCGCTATGATACAACACTGCTGCTTGAGGCTCCCTCCCTGCCCCCCCCTGCACAAAACGAGGAAGAGCATGTTATGGCACCAAGTAATGGCACCAAGCTGATAGGTTGGCCATGCGGGCAAGTCATAAGGATGGGGATTATTCGTATGCTTTATCATGTAGGGCCTGGTTACCTGTGGAAATTCGTGTTATGTTTGAACATGTGTGATTGTTGGGTGATTTCGATTGTATAGCATTGATGTATTTACAATTTAAAAACTCATGCAATAAAATGCCATGCTGCTGTTAGACAGATGTGACGATACGAAATGCTGCCTATAATGAGTGGATGTTCTTATAACGGTTGTTGTTTCATTGTCACAAATTCTATATTACAGAATTTACAAGTAAAAATTATCGATTGTTGTGTTTCTTACTGTACAAAATTGTTACACAACCTTATACAGAAACGAGTTACCCCCTGTCGTGGCTCCCCTAGTGGCGGAAAGCAGTGTTCGTAGCGAGATGTGGGTTTCTAAAAACAATGCATGAGGTATGCAGCATCAATCCCGCAGCAATGATCAACTTAATGTCACAAGTATGCTCCGTGTGGCATACTTTGAGGCATGTTCAAACATACTTTGAACACACCTTTTGGGGCAGGAATTTTGAGACGTTGCCGCGCCTCACGGTGTGCGGAATGACGACTTGCTGCGTAACGACGGTGTGCTACCCCATACCCCTTTCTCTCCCTTACTCCCCTCTCAAACTCCCCTCACCCATCCCTGCCATTTCTCCCAATCCCATCGTCTCTCCCTTCTCATACTCCCCTCACCCCCCCCTGCCCTCTCTCCCCTCACTCCGCCTTGTCCTATCCCCTCACTCCGCCTTGTCCTATCCCCTCACTCCGCCTTGTCCTATCCCCTCACTCCCTTTCCTATCCCCTGACTCCCTGTCCTATCCCCTCACTCCGCCCTGTCTTTTTCTCAGCCCCCCTTTTCCCCCTTTTCCCTCTTTGCCTTACTCCCTTCTTCCCCCTTTCCCCTCTCTTCCTCACTCCCTTCTTCCCCCTTTTCCCCTCTCTGCCTTACTCCCTTCTTCCCCCTTTTCCCCTCTCTGCCTTACTCCCTTCTTCCCCCTTTTCCCCTCTCTGCCTTACTCCATTCTTCCCCCTTTTCCCCTCTCTGCCTTACTCCCTTCTTCCCCCTTTGTCTCCCCCCTGCTCACTCTTTGTTTTTTCCCCTGGTTACACTGTATTTCCTCCCAGCTCCCCTTTTGTTTCCCTGCTGCCAACACTCTGTTTTCACTCCCCCCCTCATTCCTCTGTCACCTCTCCGCTAAAGCCCTCTGATCCCCACTCCATAAGCCCTCTGTTACTCCGTTTCCCCCCTGTTGTTGTGCTGTTGCTCTTTACTTGTGCTCTTGCTCTTTCCTTCGTTGCCACTAAACCGCCCATTATCATACGATCTGTTTCAGCTTCCCCTGGCTTCTCCTCATCACCTTCCCCTTCTGTGGTGCAGCTCGTCGAGCATGAGGCAAACAACAAAACTTATTCGCCACATTTCGGATAGTGTGGACTCGCGCGTATCGAAACATCAAAGTTTCACAAAATGCATTCAATCAATCAAGGGTTATGTACATCCAATAGTGATGGCATCGGTGATGTGAGGTTATATGTAGAGATCATGAGGAAGCTAAGCACTGCTTTATGAAGAGAGCAGAACGTATTGCCTTATAAATATCTCAAGGTACAAAGTAGTATTCCACCAATCTTGTCGCCTCAGCTCCTCAATGTGCTCTTGCACCTGCTGTTGCGCACTCTCCGCCACCAAACTTGCTAGGCACAGCTACGCCCTGCACATACCGTAGTAGTGGGGAGTAAGGATGGGGAGGAAGGGAGGAGAGATTGGGAGGAAGGGAGGAGAGATTGGGAGGAACGGAGGAGAGATTGGGAGGAAGGGAGGAGAGATTGGGAGGAAGGGAGGAGAGATTGGGAGGAAGGGAGGAGAGATTGGGAGGAAGGGAGGAGAGATTGGGAGGAAGGGAGGAGAGATTGGGAGGAAGGGAGCAGAGATTGGGAGGAAGGGAGGAGAGATTGGGAGGAAGGGAGGAACAGAGCATGAGGAAGGGATGAGAGATGAGAAGGGAGGATGACAAGGGGGAGAGACCACAACATGGAAGAAAAAGGACAGGACGGGGGGGAGAGAGAAGGACAGGGGGAAGAGAGGAGGACAAGGGGGGAAAGTCGAGGACAAGGGGGGAAAGAGAAGGACAGAGGGGAGAGGACAACCGTGAAGAGAGGAGGACATGGGGGAGAGAAGAGGACAGGGGGGAGAGAGGAGGAAAGGGAGAAAGAGGAGGACAGGGGCGATAGTGGAGGAAGGGGGGAACAAGCAACAGGTGTGTCTGGGTGTCCTGCTGCTATGCATTGGGAGAGAGTGAGAAAATGGAAGGGGGAGTAGCGGGATGAGCAAGGGAGAAGGACGGGGGGGAGATGCGGGATGAGGAGGGGAGTGCAGGGAAATAGAGTGAACAGGGGGGACATAGGGGACAGTGTTGTGAAGAGATGCAGGAAAGGAATGAAGATGTGGATAGGCTGAGAGCAAGTAAAATGGGGGGGCAGGGAGCAAAAAGGGGAGGCAGGGAGAAAAAAATGGAGGCAGGGAAAAAAGAAGGGAGGGAGGAGAGGGGAAGGGAAGAGCAGGGAGGACAAAAGAAGGGAAGGAAAGGGAAGGGAGGAGAGGAGATGGGAAGGGAAGACCAGGGAGGACAAAAGAAAAGAAGGGAAGGAAAGGGAAGGGAGGAGAGGGAAATAGAAGGGATCGGAGGGGAATGGAAGCGAAGGGAAGGGGAAGGGTAGTGCATAATGAGGGAGTGAGAAGGTTCTCTGTGAAGTGGAACAGGGAGGTACGACCTGGGGGAAAGGGGAGGAGCGACCTGGGGGGAAGGGGAAGCGCGACCTGGGAGAAAGGGGAAGTGCGACCTGGGGGAAAGGGGAGGTGCAACCTGGAGTGAAGGGGAAATGCGACCTGGGGGGAAGGGGAAATGCGACCCGGGGGGAAGGGGAAGTGCGACTAGGGGGAAAGGGAAGTGCGACCTGCGGGGAACATCGCGAAAATGGGAAGTTCGGAAAGCAACTCAAAATACACTCTCTCGCAACTTTCCCGATATATTTTGCCCGGCACTTTCAAGTCAAGGTTTTAGAACTGCATACCGACAGTCACTTACAAAGCAACTTCCCAGTCACTCTCCCGCTGCATTGTGTACAGATGCGTGCATCAAATCAGATGCTACACCCGCTACGTCGTCGTTGCTTAACCGTGACGGGCTGCTCCACACAAAGGTTTACCTAACCTAACCCATCCAACCAATTAGAAGGTGACGAGTACGCAACCCCAACTGCCACTCCGTACGCGCCCACCCACGTGGCATCCAGTATCAACCCGCACTTCCACGTAAGCGTACATGCACCATAAACGTACCCGCACCCATCCGTTGGATTGACAGTTGGGTCACGCAATCGCGACGGTTCACGTGTCTCCCTTGCAGCTACTCGCACACCATGTTACGATTCGCGAGCACCAAATCGCACATCTTCGCTGAAACACCGCGCTCGCATCTTCACCGTCCATCTCCTCGTCACTCACCCTGTACATACGTGACATTTGGAAGCAACCCAACGCTGCGCACTTCGCATATCACGGGTGCGGGACCCACTAGCATGTTCCCACGTGGCATCACCCGACGGGCGCATCATGCGTCCACACCCTAACCAACATTGCATACTCACCGTACATCTGTCGCGTGGCCAACGTTTCGTACACTTCGCCAGATCTCTCGCCACCCAGTAGTTGTGCACACGCTACTAGGTGACGACTCCATCCGCGTCGTCCATCAGTATACATCGTCTCTAACACCGAGCTGCCACGTCACGCTCACTTCCGCGATCTACCCCGTACACTTGCCTTCCGATCGTGTTCTCGCACATCTAGTAACCAGTTACACATCTCATCGCCACTTTCATTCGCGCCATCTGCGCGAAACAATTATGACCGTACAGCTGTCGCACGTTCCGCAAATATCACAGCGCGTTTCCAACCTGTACACCGTCCGCCATCGCGTCAACCAGATCATTCCACCGTACTGGAGGGTGACACGCGTAGTTTAGTGCGTGCGTGTCTAGTATGCCATAAGTTCCAGTTCAACGCTTATCCGTTATGACATCCAATCAGAGCTCCACACATGCGCACTGATGCGCATGGTACGTCCAAACACAATCGCGACATATGGCACTCTCCGTGAAACGCGCCGCCAATCGCGGCGCTTCACTAGATAGCCCGCACACCTGGTTTACGGCCGCCCGTCGCATTGCACAACCTCTATTATCCGTGTTGGCCTATCGTCTGCATCAATACCCCAATAATGTTGTCTCCCATTGGAAACGAACGCACACACATTCATACAAATACCTCCAGACTACAACTATCACCCGTAACTCTCACTCCCACACATGCATTAGCCCGGGGTTGCCCACTAATCTACACTCGGATGTACAAGCGATTATGATTCCATCCACCACTCTCTCCACCTGTCCCGTCAACGGTCCGCACCAAGATGTAAAAATCCCCCCACGTCGGCCGGCCTACTCAGCACCAACTGACGCCGAAAGGTCGTCATCCCCAACGAGGTCTTCGGACTGAGCTGCGGCGGTGGGCTTCATGTGCTCCAGGCCGCACGCAGAGATGCGCAGTCCATGGTGCCCCTAGATCCACGCCTCGCGCTCCGCGTCATACTCGGGGTTGCGGATCCGGATCGCCCTCTCCACGGCCTCCTTCACCAGGACCTTGAGCCCGCCCACAACGTGGGCGTTCCCGCCGGCCGAGTTGGAAAGCCGGCCTTTCCTCTCCTCCCAGTAGAGGACACAATCGGATACCTGCAAGTGAAGAGAAAAAGCGTCACTCAAATGGCTTGACAGTACTGCGCAATCCAGTGCACACATCGAGTGCACAAACTCACCACATGCTCCAACCAGGCCAGGTGGTACACCTTCAGTGTCATCACCAGCCCTGCCTTCTTCGGCTTGAATGCAGCCTTCGCACATGTCGCGAACGCACGAGAGGCAAACGGAATGCCATCCTTGTCTGTCGCCCAGCTCGTGAGCACCAGGGTTTCTGCACACCACATGCGCACTGTCAGTATCAGTGTCCGCCAGGCATTCATAGGTGCATAACTATAACTGGTCAACGACTCCATCGCATTTCGCCGGCACTCACCAGGGGGGTCAGCGCCAAGCCCAATACGCTCCCTTATCTTCTCGATACTACGCTCCTTCTCGGGTGCCCACGGGCTGGATGCGTCCCTGTCGTCGCGGAACATGCCGAGCTTGGGAAGTGCAATGTCTCGCACGCGAGCGGCAGCCCTGGTCTTCCACTCAGAGAGCATCTTGTTGAGATCTGCTCGACGCGACTTGTCAGCCGCCAACGCCAAACAGGCGAAGCTATGCGGCAGGCGGTCCAGCACCGCACACACTCCGTGAGTCTTATCGTCGCTGCTCGGGTAGAAGGTCATCGTCGATGTCGGCCTGTTGAGAAACATGTGAACCCTGGCGAGCTCGCAAACCCTTTGCGCACATATGGTATACACAATAAACAACATAAGCGAGCACCGTGTACCAACAACGGACCCAAAGTGCAACCGAATCCGGTCCGTACCATTGGACCCTTACGGAAACATGTCCGCTCACCTTCCATGCCTTGTCAGTCGGCAGATGCTCCAAAGCGCGTTGCAAAATAGGAGACTTTGCGGTACGCATATGACGGCCACTAGAACCATGCGTGCCTTCCTCGTCGTCCTCGCCGTCATCATCGGACCCGCCACTCCACGTCTCGCCACGCTGACGCTTCGGGTTCATACAACCCTGCCCCGGGTCTCTCTGCTTCTGAGCCTTACGCCTACGAGAGCCACTGGAAGGCCGAGACATTGCGTTCAAGAACAACGCCTCCAACCGCGCGTTCTCCTTGGCGCTCTTGTCCTGAGCCTGTATAAGTTGCTCGAAAACCCTGCTCGGGATGCGCACGTCATCGCCGTTGGCGTCCAATGGGTTCCCGCAGGTGCGGTCCACATGTCCGTCCACATGTCCTCGGCCATCACCAAGATGCACATCCGTGTCCTGCGCTTCGCGATTTGCGCGCATGTCGGCATTGGGCGCAGCGGTTCCCACACACCCACCGCCGTACGTCTTCCCCCCCGTAGCAGCGTCGCCGGATTCTTCGTGTGAGCCCGAGGCCGATGTGTCGGAGCCTTCCTCATCATCCTCCTCGCTGCGCTCGGACGAATCTGCACTCTCGGCACCCGCCGTCATCTGTGGGTGAGCGAAACACCAGAAAAGCACGATACCACAAGTTAGCATAAGGCATAACACGGGGATTCGAGAGTGTTTACAGCTCGAACAATAACAGTAATAAACCGCATCACCCATACACCCACGCTCTTGCTGCATACCTTGCTCCGGCTGCACCACCTCCTTTCCCTTCTTGGCACCGCTCAGACGCTTAGGCAGGGTCGCCCCACGTTTCCCGTTCGACAGTCGACCTCACGGCATCGTTAGCTGATACGACGCTCGCAGGTACGCCGGCGGGAGTGAGACACGACGGGAGCGGCCTTCAGCCCTCGTATCCTCGGAAGCAAGCGAGGTATCCATTCTCGCAACAGAAGTATCCAGTGAGTTGCGCTCAGAATGACGCGACGGTACTATATTTCTACGTATAGTTCTCCGCTCAACTTCCAAACACACCGGAGCCCAATTAGGTCGGGGACTTTGGTAGGCAATACGACGTTGTAGACATCTGGATGATCGCAATCCAAAACGACTAATGAACGAAACCCACGTCATCCGCCTTGTTGGACATGTGTGCTCAACTGAACCACACACTGCGCACATCTTGGTGAAACAACCGTATCCATAGACCTCGTACTTGCGGCAGTCATGTCTCGAAAATAGATTCCCGGTATACAGTGACTGCCGGGAATCACTGTATACCGGGAATCTATTTTCGAGACATGACTGCCGCAAGTACGAGGTCTATGGATATAGCACACAAATTGCACGTTACCCCAACCAACTTAAAGAACATTACGGTCACACTATGTAAGCACGCGACTTCGCATTCATCAAACATGCATACAAGCACGCAACAGCAAGCGCTGTAAATCATCCAGTACAATCCACAACGAATCAACTGCGTGGACCGACTTGTCTCACAGATACTATGTAACTACATCCACTATGCAGCATGGGCTGACGTCTTCTCATGTGCAGCAGTGTCTTCCCCACGCTCTTCCTGGCCGGTGTTCCTTGCACCTCCGCCGTTGTCGTTGGTCACAGTGGCCGTTTCCCCACTCTCAGCATTTTCAGGGACCTCTGGTTCGTTGGGAGCCGCGTTGTTGCTATCCACCACCCTACGCCTCTTTGATGTACCTATGGCAACCCCACGCTTCCTCCCGCGTTTCAGCTTGCTGCTCACGCCCTCCAGCGCCTCCCGCCAGCTCCGCCACCTCCACCACTTCCGCGCTTCCACCAGGAGCTGCAGATCTTCCTTGGTGCATCCACGCAGCATTGCCTTCTCTGCGGATGACAGGCTGGCCATGTCGGGTATATTGTCACGTGGCCTCAGCACGAACACACCTGCGGCGTACGCGAACGCCGCCTCGTCCTCCGAGGTGTATGCTCCCAGTCGCTGCTGCTTACGCCTTCCACCTTCTTTAATCAGGATCTTGACGCCGTACTTGCCGGATGCTTTCTCCAACTTCACTCCTGTGTACTTGGTGGCACACGTATCGTCGTCATCCTCTTCGTCCTCTGTGTCGGACACGAGATCCTCTTCCTCTTCGGCCTTCATCGTCTCATGCCCTCGCGTATCTCCCCACGCATCAGCTCCAGCCGGCCCACTCACCCCGAGTAGCCGTCTCCCACGCGTGAACATCCAGTGAGGTATGGACCCGTGCGCGAGCAGCGGGTTCTGTTGCAAGCGTGCTGTCGGGTCACATGCAGCGAACCCTCGAGGAGGCCAGCGCAACCCGGGTGGCATTGCGTACGCCATCCTCCGCAGGTTTGCTGTCATCCCGCCTCTTACAACCAGACGGACGCTGTGGAGTGCGTGGAGCATTCTTGGTGGCACCTGCCTCTGCTTTCGCGCCGGTTCCCACATGACTCCCATGCAGCAGTAGTTGGGTTGCAGCGGACACCACCTCGTCCCTCCTCAATCCTACAAAGTTGGTTATGACGGTGAGGCTCGCGTCTAGGTACCTCACATCGTTCTTCAAAGTCGCCACTTCCCTCGTTATCTCCGTAACCCGTCCGTCCTCCACAGGGCGAATGATCGGTGCTTGCCTCCCATCTCCCATAACATTATTCCTCTCCAACACCACTGCCCCCTCCTCCGTAACCCGGACTGCGTCTTGCGGAGGGATTTCGATCCCCAGTTCTTCCAGCTGCCGAATAAGATCTCCGCACGTGTGTGCACACAAGTCGCGCCGCATCTCCCGCCGGTATTGGTGCGGTGTCACACCCTGAAACTAGAGACCGCTCAAGACCGTGGTGAAGTCGGTATTCACCAGGGTCCTGAGATACTGACAAACAAAAATCCCACAGTCCTCCTTGTTCGGCTGCTGTGGCTGCTGTGCCCATCCCACAGTCCTCCTGCAATTACGGAAAAGCATACTACAGTTAGCAATCCGTACACTTGCATGAACAATCAGCACACTGGTATCCGCAATCAACAGAGCATGCTCACCCGTAGGATTATGCAATCCGCTTCCACGAGCTGCTTGTCCACGTACTCCATGTTAGCGTTAGGGTTACTCGCCTTGGCGAGTTCAGACAGCACACTGCACGTAACAGGCCAAAATCGTTAAAAAAACCCCTGCATGTACGACTACACACACTGAGCTGCCCTGTTAACCGTGACTCACAGCTTGGTTCCTGCAAAAATCTTGCGGGTATTCCTTGTCTTGATGCCACTGTCCAGCAAAACCAACTTCATACGCTCTTTGCCGGTAGATTTCGCGGACTTGGTGAGCACCGATGGAGAAATAGCGACGACGAGCGAGTAGTGATCACTACGCAGCCTACAAGTACATATACAAACATCAGGGTCCATGAGGTCCGTAATACGCAGTGGTGAAGCGTCAAACAGGTGACTGCCAGAACGACACTTACACGTTGTGAAAGTCTATCACACCATCAGTAATCCACTGATCATCCTCGATTGACATGAGGTCCTTCGTATCCACTTCACACTCGACACCGCGGTGATTTATCAGCTTCATGTTGTTGTACGATGACTTCACATAATTCCGTGCGATAAGGGCCACCAAGTCTTCCGGCACCAGCTCCCGCGCCGTTTCCTCTACATGAGTCGTAACTTCTTAGCCCTTCCGGAGTCCTTCGCCTGTGGGTTCGGCGCAGGATTCTTGACATTACTATCGGCCTTGTTCGATGACCTGGATCTGGTGACGGGCGGGGCAGGATCCTGGTCATCGAAGCTGCTGCTAGTCTCCGGTTGATAGAACCTGTTGCGCTAAGAGACCAACTCTTTAGGCTTCGCCATCATGAACGAACACTGACAAGTATACTGAAGAAGCAGGGAGATTAATAGGTGAGCACGGAGGGGATGACTGGGTGAGCACAGCTACTCTGGGAGCTCGCAATAAGGGGACTATAAAAAAGGAAGGAGAGAGCAAGGCGTAACCCTGGTCTATCATGCCTAGGTGGTAGAAACTGTTAAACTGTATTATGCTTGTAGGCTGTAGTGGGGTAGCCAATATGGGGTACAACCCCAACTAGGGTTTCATATTTGTACCCAAACTTCTGCTAGTTGATTCATTCTTGGCTAGTTATTCTGAGATGGTATTCAGAGCAGGAGGTCCCTAGGACCTACCGACCGTTTTTTTTTAAGGGCCCACCACCGCTCGCATGCGGTTACCACGCTACCCCGTGCCCTAGCCTCGTAGCGCCCTCGTGCGCCCTCGTTAGCGCCCTCGCGCGCCCCTCGTTAGCGCCCTCGCGCGCCCCTCGTTAGCGCCCTCGCGCACCCTCGTTAGCGCCCTCGCGCGCCCCTCGTTAGCGCCCTCGCGCGCCCCTTGCTAGCGCCCTCGCGCGCCCCTCGCTAGCGCCCTCGCGCGCCCCTCGCAGCGTCGCCCGCCCGCCGAGCCGCCCGCTCGCAGCGTCGCCCGCCCGCCACGCTGCCCGCTCGCCCCTCGCCCGCCGCGCTGCCTGCTCGCAGCGTCGCCCGCTCGCCCCGCTGCCCGCTTCGCAGCCCGCTCGCCCCGCTGCCCGCTTCGCAGCCCGCCCGCCCGCTCGCTGCCCGCTTCGCGGCCCGCCCGCTTCGCTGCCCCCTCGCAGCGCCGCCCGCCCGCTTCGCTGCCCGCTCGCAGCGCCGCCCGCCCGCCCGCTACCTGCTTCGCAGCGTCGCCCGCCCGCTTGCTGCCCGCTCGCAGCGTCGCCCGCCCGCCCGCTGCCCGCTTCGCAGCGTCGCCCGCTCGCTCGCTGCCCGCTCGCAGCGTCGCCCGCCCGCCCGCTGCCCGCTCGCAGCGTCGCCCGCCCGCCCGCTGCCCGCTTGCAGCGTCGCCCGCCCGCCCGCTGCCCGCTTGCAGCGTCGCCCGCCCGCCCGCTGCCCGCTTCGCAGCCGCCCGCCGTGCTCCCCGCTCGCCGCGTCGCCCGCCCGCCCCGCTGCCCGCTTCGCAGCCCGCCCGCCGCACTTCCCGCCTGCAGCGCCGCCCGCCTCGCCTGCTGCTCCCTGCCTGTGCACCGCCGCTTGCTCCTGCTGTGGCTGCTAGCTTCGCTCTAGCGCGTCCCCTCTGCTGCTGCCGCTGCTCTGCTGTGCCCTCACGCCTGAGCTATGGCCTCTATTCGCGTTCTTTCCTTCGATGCTGAGGGCCGTCCCGTGCAGTTCACTTCCTGGCTCGACGACCTGCAGTTGTATCTTATGAGCAATAGCACGGACCACATCTCCCTCTATGACTACGCGTCTGGTGCTGCCGCTGCTCCTGCTGCCACAGCCGAGCTTAGTGTTCGTTCCCACTGGCAGACTCGTGACGCAGCTGCTCGCCTAGCCATTCGCAGTCACCTGCCGCTAGCTGAGCTCGAGCATTTTGGCGACTGCAAATCCGCTAAGGCCCTGTACGATGCTGTCGTTGCTCGCTACTCCTCGCCTGCCACAGCCGAGCTTAGCCGCCTCATGCTGCCGTACCTGTTCCCCGATCTGTCCACCTTTGCTACAGTCGCCGATCTTATCACCCACCTTCGCACTAGTGATGCTCGCCTGCGTGCCGCCCTTCCCACCGAGTTCTGCGCTAAGAACCCCCCTCCACTGTACTGGACACTCCACTTCATAGTCACCCGTCTCCCTGACACCCTCAGCTCAGTTCGAGACCACTTCCTTGCTCGCTGTCCCACTGAGCTCACAGTCACCCTCCTAGAGGAGCAGCTGCTCGCGGCCGAAAAGAGCATTGTAGCTGTCGGTGCTGCTCGTGGCGCTCCTCGCACCCCCATCTTTGAGGGGTGTTCTCCCTCTCCCCTCGCTCCCTCCTACGCTGCTGCTGCTGCTGTTGACTTCCTTGGTGCTGAGTCTGTTGGCGCTGCTTCTGCTCCTGGTGGGAGGCGCCGCACCGGCAAGGGCAAGGGGGGCAAGGGTGGTGGTGGTGGCGCTGGGGGGGGAGGAGGTGGGGGAGGTGGGGGGGGAGGCGGTGCTGGAGGGAGCGGTGGCGGGAGCGCTGGTGGGAGTGGGGTCGGCGGTGGAGGCGGGGGCGGCGGAGGAAGCAGTGGCAGTAGTGGCGGCGGCGGCGGTGGCGGCGGTGGCGGTGGTGGCGGTGGTGGCGGTGGCGGTCGGAGCGGTGGTAGTGGTGGCGGCGGAGGTCGGAGTGGAGGCACTGGCTCGGGCCAGAGCTCCCAGCAGCAGCAGCGTCCCCAGACGACCCAGCAGCTTCGTGAGTGGCTTACTCAGCGTGGGACGTCGGGGGGCAGTGGCCGCTGTTCTTATGTCATTCGCACAGGTGACCGCAAGGGACAGACGTGTGGGAGGTTCCACACCCCGTACCGCTGCTTCTCCCGCCTTGACGACGCTTGGCGTGAGGAGATGGGTGCGGATGTTGAGCGCCCCCGCTGGGCTGAGCTCATGAGGGCTGGTGTTGATGTCTTTGCTCTTGACTATGATGCTATTATTGCTGCCATGTATGCATTGACTGTTAGTGCCGAGGGAGATTGTTACTTGTGTGTGCCGCCTGACCCAGGTATAGAGCCCGCTGCCCTGGGTACTAGTGAGTCTGCTCTCTCTGGTATGGTGCCCCCTGTACTTGCTCCCTCCAGTGCTGTCCCGGCTGTTTTCGAGTCTGCTCTCTCAGGTACAGCACCCACAGAGACTGCTCTCTCAGGTACCGCACCGGCTGAGGCCTGTCACACCTTCACCCTTGACTCAGGTGCTTCCCGTTGCTTCTTTCGTGACAGTACTGAGCTCACACCACTTCCTGCACCGGTCCCAGTCTCCTTGGCTGACCCCTCTGGGGGCCCAGTCCTTGCCCAGTCCACCACTGTCCTCCCTTGTCCGGCGGTTCCGTCTGGCTCGTTGTCGGGTTTCCACCTCCCCTCGTTCTCGACGAACCTGGTGAGCAACGCTGTCCTCCAGGATCAGTGGGTTGACACCTTTACCCCTGGAGGACAGCGTGTGGCGATCTGCACGTGCTCCAGGACCGGCCGTCACCTGGCTACGTTTACCCGTCGGCCGGGGTCGAGTCTCTACACACTGACCACTGTGTCTCCTCAGGTCGCTGCTGTCGGTCAGGTGTCCGCGTCAGGTCTGGTGGCCCACGCCTGTGAGTGTCGTTCCCTGTCGCACCAGACCCTTCTCTGGCACCACCGCCTGGGTCACCCCTCCTTGCCACGCCTTCGTGGCATGCACCGTCGCCACCTTGTGTCTGGTCTTCCCAGGTCCCTCCCTCCCCTCCCTGCCTCGCCTGCGCCGCCTTGCCTTCCTTGCATCGAGGGGCGGCAGCGCGCCGCTCCTCACTCCTCCTCGTTCCCCCCGACAGAGGCTCCTCTGCAGACCCTCCACCTGGACGTGTGGGGCCCAGCCCGCGTTCGTGGTCAGGGCGGTGAGCGGTACTTTTTGCTGGTTGTCGACGACTACTCGCGTTACACCACGGTCTTCCCCTTGCGCACCAAGGGTGAGGTCCCTGCTGTTCTGATCCCTTGGATCCGCACAGTTCGTCTCCAGCTCCGCCGCCGTTTCCGGACGGATCTTCCTGTCCTGCGTCTGCACTCTGACAGAGGTGGTGAGTTTTCCTCCGACCTCTTGAGGACCTTCTGTCAGGCGGAGGGCATCGAGCAGACCTTCACGCTTCCGGACTCCCCACAGCAGAATGGGGTTGCTGAGCGCCGCATTGGCCTGGTCATGGAGGTCGCTCGTACCTCCTTGGTCCACGCGGCGGCTCCCCATTTTCTGTGGCCGTTTGCTGTCCGGTACGCCGCGCATCAGCTCAACCTCTGGCCCCGTGTCTCCTTGCCGGAGACCTCGCCCACACTGCGTTGGACGGGGGAGGTTGGCGATGCGTCGCGCTTCCGGGTGTGGGGTGCTCGTGCCCTTGTCCGCGATACGTCCGCGGACAAGCTCTCCTCCCGCACGCTTCCCTGTGTCTTCCTTGGCTTTGTCCCTGACGCGCCTGGCTGGCAGTTTTACCACCCCACCTCGCGCCGGGTCTTCGCCTCTCAGGATGTCACCTTTGACGAGTCGGTCCCTTTTTACCGTCTCTTCCCCTACCGCACTGCCCCCCTCCCTCCCCCGCCGCTTTTCCTTGCTCCTGGTCCCCCTCCGGTAGACCCCCTCCCCCCTCAAGGTCCTGCTCCTTCAGGTGTCTCTCAGGTAGACCCTCCTCCCGTCGCTGAGCCTGTCGAGGTCACAGGTGACTCAGGTGCTGCTGCAGGTGGTACTGCTGGGAGTGCTGAGCCTGGGGGTGCTGAGCCTGCGGGTGCTGGGCCTGGGAGTGCTGG